TTAGAGGCTTGTTCGTCAAGTTTTATTTTTTTCATATCCTTTTGGACCGGCGAATATATGAAAATCACGCCCTTTACAGTCTAAGTTACGTTTTTGATATGTCTATCTCTTTGCAATATGAATAAAAACATCTACTTTTATTTCAACCGTATTATACCTTCAGTTTTGATAAAATAAGTTTCTGAAACAACATTTAAATTAAAGGGTAAAAAAACAAAGTGGACCCAAAAAAAAGATGTCCTTTAAATTATTATGTTTATGATTATTGGAAATTACTCGGGTGCAATTTATTGATTAAGCAACGCAGATAGTTATTGTAGATAGCAAGACTAGTTGAAATATGCGGGTTTGTCATGTGTGACTAGCCTAATTTACTAGTACAATTATTTACTTATTTTTGTTGGTTTCAACTCAACTAAACATTTTAGTTAAAAATGTTTAATACTTTTATTTTGGTTAAATTTTTAACGATTCGAAACGATTTTTTTTACTTTTCAAAAAAAATGAGCGAAATCTCACTTTTTTATTTTGGAAATCGATTTTATTATGTATTATTTTTCCTTATCAGTAGTGTATTCCGGCCTCAAGGCGTATATAAAAATATTACATATATAATATCTTAAAAATAATTAGTAATTGCATACAAATGATCCAACGAAAATTCATATCTTAAGTTATATATCAATATAACATAATTTGAAACTAAAGAATCACTAATTTTGGCCTTGTGTCGTATATTTCTAAGAATAAACAACTGTCAGATTTTGATTGAAATAAAACTGTATATAGGTTTTATATTTATGATATTGTTACTTTTGAATATGTATTTAAAACTTGGAACCGTGGGTTTTCTTATTCGATATTATTATCATTTTTTATTTAATAAAGATATATATATATATTATACATTTTTTTTGGCTGTTCAATGGATTATAATTACAGCTGTTGAAATATAAATATGAAATAAATTATATTTATACCCATGTTTATTAGACAATGAGTCTCTAGTACTAGTGATATCTGAATGTACTTGAAATCTGGCAGACGTTTTTTTAAAACACTATTGCCAACTAGTGTTAAACAAAAATCAAGATTTTTTTTTCATATTTGACTCTTTTTGGTTTTTATATACAGAGTTATATTATTTTCATTATCAAAGTCGGTTTTACCAATTTAAATAAAAAAAAATGAACTCAATTGAATGACGTGGTTTTTTTTTCGAATCCAAGTTGGCAAATTTATTACATAGTTATAAGTGTTTAAAATATAAATGTCTAAATGTTATTCTTCGATACAGACCTTTTGCAATTTATTTGAAAAAATCATTCTTTGCGAACTTTTAGAAGATCGGCAAATTTCGAATTTATTAAGATGTAAGGGGTTTTTAAGAAAACGAGTTATTTTTTATCTTAGATATTTCTTTACTATTTCTAATGTATTGGATTGAGAGAGAAAAACAACAAAAAATTACTGTTCTTCAGATCTGATCCGACAATTCTGCGGAAAGCGAGATGATTGCGTAAAAGTTCCATACAATGTGTTAACAACTAATTCAACATTTTATTTATCTTAAGTTTTGTTTAATGTAAAAAAAAAACATATTTATTGAATAAAACTGTAAAAAAAAAATTTTAATAGAAGTTCAAAGAAATGATATAATAAATTGTGAAAGGCCTTTAATTTGTAGAAACTTTCTGTGATCACTTTACCACTGTTTTGCTTTTTTTATAAAGCTGTGGTCTTTGTACATAGTTAGGTAACCTTTCTCCATCTTTGTCATTTGTTAAATCCACACATGAATATTCCAATGACCAAATTAACTACAGAAACCTTTTGTCAGTAACAAGACATTTCAATCTGGGTATTTCCTATTATTGCATCAATTAAGTTTACGTTCTCAAGAATAAGTAGACAGTGAAATTACAGATCTCAATTACTATATTTTTCCTAACCTTCATTATCCTGAAGTAATCCTTGATACATGTAATCGGTGTCTACAATACAATGTGTGTCAAAATTATGTGTTTCATTTCATTCCTTACATAACATACGTGGAGTTTAAAAGTTCATAACATAGTTACGTTAGCAGAGAAAAGCTAAAATTTAGTGATTTTTTAACGTCAGAGTACAGAAATTAGTTGCTAAACATTACTAATAAATAAATATAACCTATGTTACTTGCAGATAAATTACCTTTCTAATGGTGAAAGAGTTTTTAAAATCTACCCAGCAGTTTCTACGTGAATCGAATACATACAAAAATACAACTCTCCTCTTTTTAATATTAGAAAAGAAAAACAATCACATTTTAATAAATCTTTAATAATATTTCAAACTTTTAATATTAATCACTACATGCTCTAAAAATTATAAAAAATTAAATATGTCAATTTCATTAATAAATATATGTATTGCTTATCATATTTAATTCACATCTTAAAATTGAACAAAACCATTCATATTACAATTGAACACATTTATAGGAGTGGTAACTTTCTTATAAAATATCTGTGCCACATTATTGCTGTAAGTGCCGATAGAGAGTACCAAGTTATAAGGTAAGATAAATGCTCGTTGCGGATTGTTACTCGTGTTTGGTTGGGAATTGGCCAGCCTTCAGGTGGATCGGGGATGCCCCTCGCATCCAACCACACCGGAGAACAATTCAAATAAGCACTCATTTGATGTAGATCCCTGGAAAATTATGAAATTGAAATTTAAACCATTTAATTAACTATTCAAACTATATTAATAAGCACAAATGTTCTTTATCTGTGCCAAATTACATCAAGCATTAAGCCCTAGAGATATCTCCTAACAAATATTGATTCATCTAAACACTTACATTTAAAATATTAGTAAGATGCACAAATTCCTCAGACTTAAAATTATGAAAGTCGCTACAGAAATAAGAATATGACTTGTGACCTCACCTATAAAACCAAGATCCTTTTTCCGGATGATTTTTGGGCATAAACGGGCGACGACTCTCTGTTAAACGCACCACTCCGGTTAGTTCAACATCACCCTCTACCATGGATGGTTGACGTTTTTCTTTAGGTCGAAGGCTTTTAGGTACCCAACCTCGGTTCACTAATATTATATCACTAAAAGGTCACAAATATCAGAAGAATATCAAATAATAATTATCATGCATAAAAGGACTAGAATATTACATCTTTTGTTAATCAAGTTTAGTTGCATTCAATTGCAATTCTGATACTTAAATTATTTTTTTAAAAATCTTCTAAAAATTCACATCAGAAAAGCAAACATTCATCGATAACAATGGTTTGGTTGTACCATAAAAATGACATATCTTATATTTTCTACTAGCTGTCACCCACAACTCCGTCCACATGGAATTTAAAACCAAAGTGCATAGCCCTTGTGTTCTTCCAGACTGACCTCTACATCTATACCAAATTTCATTGAAATCCATTCAGCTATTTAGTTTGCAATTTCAAATAAACAAACATCCATTCATCCATCTAAACTTTCGCTTCTATAATATTTGCATGATTATGAGATTGGCTGCTATAAAAGGTCTGAATGCCTTACCCAGTGTCGCTTATTTTAAATGGAGTAATCACCAACCATCCTTGATTCTTCTTAGGATCCGACATAAGAGATCCAGATCTTGGCAATGACTGATTTTCTTCTATCAAAGCTCTAGGACCAATTAAAATCTCTTTATCATGCAAGAACTCTCCTCGAACTTTGACTGGCCGGAATTCCATATTGTTGAGTGCCTCAAAGCTAAAATATAATAGAATAGAATGTTCTCGCATGAAACAGAAACATAGTGATCTTGAAAGTGGCACTGAAAGGGTTGTGTTTAGGCTGTAAGTATTTGAATACCCAACACATGTGAAACTTCAATATTTGTATAAATAATGGTGATATAATGGAGCTCACTTGGTTGGCATATCCACTGGCTCAGAGTTAGACTTGGCTTGCAGCATATCAATTAGTTCTAACTTCCACTGTAGGCGATACACCTGCCAGCAACCAAGACCAAACGAAGTCACCGGAATCATCTGGAAATATTCATATAAATGAAATAAACCTCATGTAAGACAGTTCTATTGTATTTGTATAAACAAAAAAGTTTGACTGTTTAACTAAATTACATGAATTTGTAAAACTAATTTATTTAAGGAAAATTAATATTCATACCAGTAGAATCCATTTTATAGCTTCTCCGCCTTCTTCTTTCTTCTGCTTTTGTGACCTAAATACATTTGTGTAAGTTGTATTAGGTCTAACAAATTTTATTACCACACTTCTACAGCTAATCTGACTTAATTTCTTAAGATTCTGGGATATTCTAAAAACAGTATTAAGCATTTTAAATAGATACAAATCAAATTTATGAGATAAAGTATCAATCACTCGATCATTAATTCGATAAATATTGCTTTTTATTCTGGATTATATCATATATCACAGATTTCTAGCCTAAGCTACCGCTCAACTTTTGACAACAACGATCAACGATCAAATTAAATTAAACGTCATACGTCAACCCGCACATGACATGTCTGTCATAAAGAAATCCATAGACAAAATTAAAACATATAAAATAAGCACCATGTGAAAATTAATTATGGTGTTAGGCCTATCAAAAAAAATTGAAAAATACTAGCGACTTGAAACTTTGACTAGTTATCAAAATTTAAAAATTAAAAAAAATTTTACCTAACTGATTAGGTAAATTTTGGTTAGGAAAAAGGACCAAGCCATATTATGTAGTCACAATCTTTTTAGTCTTCCTTTGTGCCGGATTTAAAAGAAAGGTACACCTTTCGCTTTCATTTTTGGAAAAAATATTACGAGAGCTTTGCGACCTGCAACTGCTACTATCAACCTGCTTGATCACTTTAGTCTAAATCTAAAAGGTTAAGTTGCAAAAATCAAATATTCTTTACTTTGACTGACTATGTAGTCAGTAAAAATACTTTGAACGTTTGATTTGAAATGAGAATTGACCTTGACTTGTCAGTTATTAAAACCTTTAAAGAAATGACAAGTCAAGGTCAATTATTATTCCACTATAAATCTGTAGTAAGGTTAAATATTACTATATATTAAATTAAGAAATATCCATAAATATACTTACCAACTTTCTATATTTTTGAAGTTAAAATAAAAAGAACGTTACTTTAAACGATACAAATTGTTAAGATAAGCATACAACATACACTGACGTATTAACACATCATTTATTACAACACTACATATCTACATTTGTATTACATTGTTGTAGTAGTATAGTTGATATTAAGTCGTTCCGCAGCCCGCAACATGGCAAACACTATCGTTGAGGTACGTAATCTATTATTGATTATTAAAACATTTGGAAAAATAATAAACTGATATTTCTTTAATTATATCTAACTTCTTTGATCATTTTTATAACATCAAAATTAAATATAGAACATTATTACCGAAAGTTAAAAATGTTTTTGTTTTTAATTTAAAATGTGCGAATTATTTATATCAATAAAATGATCGATGTAGATTAAATAATTGATAAAAATATTACTCAAAATTGTTATAGATAAATTAATTTGGCTAATAATTCCACGTGTTACTTCGCCCATCTAGTTACCGTGATATCTGAAATATTAATTGCTATGCGATTATTTTATGCTCTTTAATAATATAAAGGAATGTTATTGTAGATATATACCTATAAATTTCACATTTAAATTTTGCGCTAATGTCAGACTAAAGGATTCTTATTCTTTTAATATTTTTTTCAGTGGTTAATACAAACGAATAATTTAAGTGAACTATGGGCAGCACAACCTACCTATATAATATCACAGGCCGTCTACATTATAGCCGGTCTTATTACCTTAATTCATGGTAAGTTGTAATACAAAAAATTAAGTGTTATTTTAGCATACCAATTTTTGCAATCGAGAAACAGGTTTTGTTCTAAGAAAATTTATGCACTCCAAAAGTGTTTAAAGCGATTAATATGAAAATTTAAGTATTTTTGAGTCTACCAATGGCTATAATCCCACTCATTAATTCGTTACGACTTACCTTTCGTTGTTTATCTTACTAATATTAAAATGCGAAAGCTTGGATGCTTTGTAGCCTAAAAGAATGAACGGATCTCGATGAAATTTGGCATAGACGTAGAGTATAGTCTGGAATAACATAGGCTACTTAGTTGTGTATTTTTTAATTCCACGATGAGTCAATCGCGGGCGAAAGCTAGCGAATTAATATTTAGAGGGAGATAGAGAGATAATTTAGATAGAGATGGGATAGCACAAAATAAGGAAAAGAATATTGAACTAACTACCAATCACAAGTATGGTTTATCGATATATCTGGAGAAGTCGCATGTTACCGAAACGAAATTGTGAAAAGTTAAGGTAATGGAGTATTCAACAAACAATGAACATGCGGTTTGTAACAATTTAAACGTGTTAAAAAACCGTTTAACACAAAATATAAAGGAAAATTAAATACGTGAATATGTTTACTTTCATATACAAAAAAAAGTTTACATTTAATGTCCTATTATCCAAATAAAATGTTACTTTCGGGGCGAGCTGCAGCGGATAGAAAAATTTAAATATTGTAGAGTAAATACAAAACATAGTATAACATATGAAAAGAAAATCTACCTAATGTTCCGTCTAGGGCATTCAAGGTCACTGAGGATGTTCGCCGGAAACATTACTTATCATACAAATATCTTTAAAATTAATACGTCGATAAATAAATTGATAATTTCTTCATACTTTTCACTGAGTCACAAGAGATTCATATTTATTGTCTTTAAGAAAAGTTAACAAATATTCACTAAGGACAATTTATTTTAAAGACACCTGTTAGCATATTTCTTTACAATAAAATCACTTTTTCTTTAATGCAAAATAAGGAGACATATGACTTTTTTAGTACCAATATCGTAATAACACCAATTTAAGTTTCTACATCCATTATTTTTGCAGCATTCAACAAGGGCGGTCGATGGCCGTACTTCTGGCTCGGCACCGTCCTACACGGGGTGTTCACCGACAACTTTTGGCATTTCATTTTACCAGAATACGATAACTTTTGGCATTCACAAACACCCATTATATTGCTCGGTGCCAGGTTACCTCTGCACATTATTTTATTATGTAAGTATACGAATTTCAAGAACTACCAGGAATCTACCGAATTTTGTTATATCGTGCAATATTTTTAATTGAATTCACTTTAAGATCCGGCGTTCATATACCACGCTGCGTACGCGCTGTCAAAACTCCATTTGCCGTTTTACGCGGAACCTTTCGCCGTTGGTTTGCTGACTGTACTGGTGGACATACCGTATGATATCGTCGCCGTGAAGTTTGTCCATTGGACGTGGCATGATACCGACCCTAACATTTTCGACCGCCACTACTGGGTGCCTTGGAATTCATATTACTTCCACGCTACTTTCGCTGCAAGTTTCTTTTTCTTCTTCCACGTTAGTAGGAAATGGTTCGCTCCTAAAATCGAGCAATGGCAATCTGCTAGGTAAGTTGTGATCTTTTTAATTTAAAATATTACCAGAGTTGTATTCTAACCGTGTACAATACCATTAGGCTATTGGAGTACTCAAATTCATTATTTTTAGCTGGTTAATAAGTACTTTTAGAGAAATCTAGCTTAGAGGATCCCCTTGTTTTTATTGCCCTTAAATTAGTAATTATGTTTTTACAGTAAAGGCGCTGAATGGAAGTCTCTCGTAATCTCGTCTCTGTTAGGCATGCCGGGAGGAGTGCTAATGTTTGTGCCTATCTACCATCCACTTCATGATGTCTACAAGATCCATTCTGAAGTCACTTTCTTCCTCCTTTTTGCTATCTTCGGCGTTATCGTGCTCAACGGAATTTTGAGCAAGCGAAAGGAAAACACAGACAAGTTAGTAATATGTATTTATTAACTTATTGTTTCCTCTTAATTTCAGATATAAAATAAGATTTTCTTCATAGTAATATATTTTTTTTGTTATACGATAATCTGTTTTCTGGCTGTGGATTTAGATATGACGGCTGATAGAGATGTATGGAAGAGCAGCACACACTGTGCCGACCCTCCATAAGGGATAAGGCCAATTGGACGATGAATCTGTTTTCTGGCTATCGATGGAATTGGTGTACTATAAAAGCCCTAATAATAGAAAATTATGTAGTATGTATGCATGTATGTATGTATGGAAGTTAAATGTATAAATATATAGAAAGAGTGAAGTAGAGTTTTTTTTAAGAAAATTAAACCTGAAAATTTATAGAATATTGAAAAATAATTCTTTGTTTGACCTTATGTATTACGTACTTATTTAAACAGGTGTACGAAGTTCCCTTTGAAAAGTTATTTATGTATTGTACATACGTAAGCATTGAGTGCTATCAAACACAACACGTGGTATTTTGAAAATTATAATAATCGATAACTTGTTTAAAAATATATTTTTTTTGATGTCAGACTTTTCAAACTATTCGCATCAGCCATTCTCTGAGTTGTAGTATTAACTGAGTACAGTTTTATGAATTTGTAATACTAGATCTACACTTAGCGACAACTTAAGTTGTTATTCAAAGAATCTGAACATGGCAGTTTAAATAGTTGAGTTTATCTTTGCGTTTTTTTTTACATAATATATGATTTTCAATTTACTAATTGCAGGTTAACTACAATCGACTACGTACTTATGCTGCAGTTAGTTGTCCATTACTCTATTTATTGGATTTTTGTTGTTTTCTTCGACCCTGAAAAGGAGATATCGAAGGGTTTGCACGAACCAGTTGGTCCTTGTAACGAACGAGCCAGTTTAGTAACGCCATTTGGACAGGTGAGAATATTCTAATGCTATCTATTGCGACTGTAAAGCGATATTCGCAATATAGCGATGTACGCAATTCAATACTCAGACCACTGATTAAATAAAAAATGACTACAAATGCAATAATACGCTTGCTTTTCATTGTGAAGTTTATTTTGTTCAATAGCATTTAGTATGAGTGGGGGATTTTGCAATTTTTTAACATTTTTTTTTGTCATATTCACAGACATTATATAAGTCCAAGTACTTTTGTCCGGATAAATACGACGAGAAGTACTTTGATTTCCATTGCGTCGGCGGTAAGAAGCCTCAAAACGGTGACACCTGGTATACCATCTGTGGAACGCCTTTTGAGTAAGTAAACGAGTATCTATACTTATATAACATTTTTTGGTCCATAGTGTTTTTATTATTTTTATTTTTATACTGATATTTTCAGGAGGAAAAATGTCTATTTTTGTATTTATTGAAATAAATCAAAAACTACTGGACCGATTTGAATAATTCTTCTGCCATTAAACACTACGATATCAGTAAATTATATAGGCTATATGATATAAGATTGAAAACTTTCTAGAATGTTTAGTATGTTTTGTTAACTTTCTGTTTCCCAGAAATCGTGCAGAGTACATCACCGTTTTGTCGACAATTTTGATCGTCGCTGCTGGCGTTTTCTATGGGCTTTACTTCAAAACGATGCGCCAACAAACAACAACTAAAAAATTGAAATCAAAGTAAATTGTGTGTGTTTTAGATTTTCGTGTTGTTTTTTTGACAAAGATTTATTAAAACAATCTTTATTTGACTAGAGATAATCAGTTATTTACCTTCTATGTATTTATAATGTTGGATTCAAATAAAATATTTTTCACTTTCCTTTAACTTTATGTTTAAAATGTGATTTGTAAAACTCACTTGTTTCTTGTAATTTAATTAAGTAGTAAAAGATAAAGGTTAGTCAACTAAAGAAATGAATCTAAAAAAGCTACTGTTTTATGTAACAACTAGCTATCCCCGTGCGGCTTCATCCGCATAGAATTATGAAAATTTTATTTTATTGTTTACATTTGTCAAATTATCAATTGCAAATGTCAAAATGACATGACATGATGAACCAGGCAACCTTGCTTCCTTGATGTTGGCAGCAACTTATGGTCTCTTTCCCACATAAGGGTTTTTATCCAAAATATTTACCCCCTTTAAATGCATGATTTTTTTCTTTTTAAATACCCTAAATTGAAACGGGTAATAAATTGAACATAAAACAAGGAAAAAAATAAAGAAAAAATATTAAAAAAATCTATTGGGTGTAGAAACAGAACACACATGAGAAGACTGACGTATAAATGCATCATCATACATTTAAGGGTTAATGGCGTGAAGATATATAGCCTAAAGCGTGTCGTAAGTGTAGGGCTTTTTATTAAACAAAGAATTATTAAAAAATATGCTGTGATTGCTGACATCCTGCGCCACAATGAAGTGTGTTTACGCTTTATTATAATGGTTAGATAGATAAATGATTTCTAATGTTTTTAAAGTTGTAACGTAATTTTATTTTTTTGCTAGAAAAGTATTCAGAGAGTCCTCAAGGTGTTAAAGATCAAATGAATTGCCAACCAATTTGTTTATAATATCACTTTTAATGATATGTTATTTAGATACAGTCACATAATAATCTTATATCTACTTTTACATATTAGATAATTATAAGAGAGCGAATGTTTCGTAAAGGGATGTGCAATAAGGAACTCGTTAGTGCAATAAACGTCAACATTTATCATTTATTCCCGACTTCAATTAACATTTTAAAAACGTTAAAATAAACATCAAAAGAATACAATTTTAAAGGCCTGTCCCACCACTGGCTGATATACACTGAGATAAGGGAAGAAAAACCGATATTTCCATCAAATAATAATATTTACAACGTATAAACGTTGGATTGTCATCAGACAATTTACAATTTGGTGGGACAGGAATGTTCTTACCACTCACTGGTTTTTATTAAATGTGGGTTTTCACTATCGAATTACTTGTACAGAAACATACATTCGGTTTACATGTTTTAAAAGTATTTCGATAGTACAGGAATTAATTGTAATATTTGGTTAAGTCAATATATTTAAGCATCTAAGTTAACGAATATGACAAGTCGTAATTGCCTTGTCTCTTTACCCTTTGGTTTTTATATCGAATACGTATCCAGGGAAATGTTTTTCAAGTTAAATATAATATCGTCCGTTAAAACCAACTTAAAACCATACATGCACCCAAATTTTTTAAAACATATTACAAAAAATTAAAATAAATTAAAATGGTAGCGTACTTCGTACAAATTAAAAAATTATCAATTCGATTTCACTAACAAATAAATTCGAAAATTCAAATTAAAAAATAATCTGCGATACATTGATAAAGCATATTTTTAATAGTAATTCTACTTGCAACTGCGACTACTCGTACGTTTATGTCTTACTTCTAACACTTACAATAATGGAATGGTTATACATCAAGATCGAAATGCTCCGAAATTAAAAAAAAACAACATGAGTTCCTACTGCCGTAACATATAGCTGTGTAAACCCACGGTAACACAATAAATAATACAAGCACCATACAAAATTAACATATAAAAAAATCAAAATATGAATGAAATAATCAGAATCGCGTTTGTTTTCGAGTTTATATAACATTTTGTGATAATTTTGATTATGAGGTGCACTGAACTCCTACGGAGAGGCATATTTAAAAAATCAATAAAAAATAAATGAGGCGTTCGCCTTTGATTTAGCAAGTTTACTTCTAGCGTTTCAAAGATGCAAGATATATTAGGACGGCTTGTTGCGCGGTCGTGAAACTATATTTAGGAAATTAATTCTATTTATTCTGTGCGATATCCAAGATATACAAGCTAAAAAAACCTAAATCATATCTATCAAACATCACTAGGAAGCTGTTCAAATATCTTTGAAGTCATATCTAAAACTATTAAACCAATAATACAAATGAAATTGCAAACAATTAGGCTCAATTTAATCACTGAGGATAACCTAAAAATTAAACCTAAAAAACCGAGTGCGTTCAGCTAACCTAAAATAACAAAATAGGAACATTTCTAACGAACGGTTTAAAATTTTTGATAATTTAAGGTCGGTTCTTGAAGAGTTCCTCAACAACCGATGGATCAGCGAGAGTGGAAGTATCGCCAATGTCGCTTTCCCCGAGGGCTATTTTCCTCAGAATCCTGCGCATAATCTTCCCAGACCTAGTTTTGGGCAATCCTGGAGCATATTGGATAACATCAGGCGCGGCGAATGCCCCAATACGGTTCCTGACACGTTTCTTCAGGGAGTTTACTAATTCAGCGTCGAATTCCGCTCCCTCGTTGAGAATAACGAAGCAGTAAAGAGATTCTCCTTTGATCGGATGAGGTTTGGATACGACAGCCGCTTCAGAGACACGCGGCTCTTCAGTAAGCACACTTTCCACTTCAGCAGTCGACATCAGATGGCCGGAGACGTTCAGCATGTCGTCTATACGACCAGTCACCCAAAGGAATCCATCTTCATCACGTTTGGCACCTGAACAGTCCGTGTATAGCCGCTCTTAGTTAATATCGAATGTTATATCATAATACTATAAATGCAAAAGTTTAGATGGATGTATGTTAGAGTTTGTAGCCTAAACTGCTTAAGAGATATAGATGAAATTTGGGCATAGATCTATAGAGGAACACAAAGACTCCTTGCTTTTTTATTTAATTCCACACGGATGTAGTCGCGAGCGAAAGCTAGCTAGTTATATATAAGTGTAAGTGCAAAAAATAATTAGAATTAATTTGTTACGCACTGTTTACATCAAACTAATGATTATTTTCTTTATTCAGCTCAATTGAAATTCGTGGAATAGTAATTTACATTTTAATTATTTAAACAAATTACGTATGTTTGTAAGTTTATTTCACGCGGACGGAGTTGTAGGCAAAAGTTAGATTTGTAATAAAGGAATAGTTCTATCTGAATAACAGTTGGCAACACTTACCATCCCCAGTGCAATAGTATCCAGGGAACTTAGAGAAGTAGACCTTCTCGTAGCGGTCATGGTCAGCGAACAGGGTCCTCATGATGCCGGGCCAGGGCCGGGAGAACACCAGGTAACCCTCGCCGGGACCCTCGATCTCTTTGCCGTTCTCATCCAGCAAAGTCGGCTGGACACCAAAGAATGGGAAGCCCTGGAAGTGACGTAATCATTTTAACTTGAATCAAATCATTTAATTAAATAACTCAATATATAATCATTTGACAGATTTTTTGCTTCATAATCTCATATAATGGAAATATTCAGAATATCTTGTTAAACTGACCGCAGCGCCGGGTTTCATGGGTGTTGCGCCTGGCAGGCTAGTGAGGATATGTCCTCCAGTCTCCGTCTGCCAGAAAGTATCGACAATCGAGCAACGGCTACTGCCTATCATAGTGTGGTACCACAGCCATGCTTCAGGATTGATGGGCTCGCCAACGCTGCCCAACACTCGGAGTGACTTCATGTTATGCCTGGATACCGAAAAAATTTTAAATCGCTTGGAAAAATTACAAGTTAAAAAAAGAACCGTTACAAAATAATATAATAGAGATAGTCGTGAGAATCCTGCTCTTAAGGGGATGGGTCAAAACTCATTGTTACGTAATATTTGCATAAGGAGGGGTCAATAAAATACTTCTTTCTACAAACTTTAACACTGGATCTGATAATGCGCCATTCATTACTTATGTCTTACGTAAGTACAATTTCTTATTATTAAAATAAGTACGTAACCAAATTATGTAAGAAATAATTAAACAAGACGCATTTTAAGTCTCAAAATAGGTCTATAGTGTTTATCTCAATCTTGCCTCGATATTGAAGAGCTAAATTATGGTATACAAGGCCATTAGTTTAAAATATTTTAACCTTATAAACCCCATTAGCTATGTTTGATCAATTAAAATTAATTGGATACTTTTGCATATTTATTCATAGCTATGGCTATTCTGATGTTCGCACGATATTTTACGCTAATGTAAGTTAACAACTAATTTAGCGTATGCATTTTAAAATAAACACTAATAAAGAGCGTATAAAATTATGTACAAACAATTGATTACATATTAAATATGCTTTGGGATCGAGCCAAAGTTAAAATAAACTGTATTTCCAAAATTCATTACCTTATCAAACTTATTTTTAGCCAGGTTAAATCACATTTAAATAATATATAAATATGTTATATAAATATTATAAATGCGAAAGTTACGATCGATGGATGTTTGTTAGCGTTTGTAGCCTAAACGACTGAACAAATTTCCATTAAATTTGACACAGATTTAGAGCATAGTCTGCAAGAACATATTGATTACTTTTTATCCCGTGAATAGTTACGGTTCCCGTGGGATTCAATAATTTAGTTTTTTAATGTTTACTCGATCATTCTGCAACGGTTCAACATATCTTATTGAAATTTAGCACAGATATAAAACAAAGTCTGAAGTACATATGGGATAAGGTTCATCTCTGAGAAATGTCCGGTTCCCGGGATACGTAGCTTTTTGTTATTTATATAGTTCGTATGTTTTCTAATACCAAGCGAACAAAGTCGCGGGCAAAAGCTAGTAATATCCCAGCATAGTTTCTGATTAATTCAATGTATTGGTTGTTGATAATTGAATCATTCGATATTAGGAACGTAGAGTTAATGATTATATCAAGTAACAATGACCCCGTTTAGATCGCTTGCAATATCACGAATGTTTGCACACAGCACAAATTGTAGCAGTACACCAATTGTTATTATTAGAATTTATTATCCTATGTACATTCATCATCCGCATGAATAAATTCGAGTTAATGAACTACTTAGTTAGGAATTAAATGTAAAATATTTACGTAATATTGAATGGAATTTTGTTATTTGTTAAATCAGCTAATTTAATATACATTTATAACTATTATTTTAGACAGAGTACTGCCATAGATTATTGCAAGCAATGATCCGTAATATTTTATCAATGATTTGAAATAACTAAAAAAAATCAAATACATTCCACTATTTTACTATACTATCTTAACTACAATCTAAATAATATTATAAATGCGAAAGTTTAGATGGATGGATGTTTGAGAGTTTGTAGCCTAAACAGCTGAACGGATCTCGATGATATTTGGCGTAGTTGTAGAGGATAATCTGGAAGATCACATAGGCTACTTACTTTGTTTTTTTTAATTCCACGCGGACGGAGTCACGGGCGAAAGCTATTCAATACATAAACATCTAGGTAATATAAGTTTCAAACTAACATTATTTAGTTTTTAACGTTGTAAAACGCATACGTTAATTTAACATGTGTAATCAATTTGCATATGACTAGATAGAGCAACAAATGTACTGAAGTCAATGTTATTGAACAACTAATAAAAAAAACAAAAGCAACAAGAAAACAATAAATATATTAAACCTCGATAGTTTTAATTAAAAATTATTTAATATCGAGTATGTTATTTACTGAATTAAGAAACTATTGTTTCACCCGTAACTAATATGGATGTAAACAATTACTTATAACATTTACTCGTTATAAGTATAAAAAAATTAAATCGTTTCCAACATAAAAGGTCGTTTTAATTATTAATTAAGCTAAATAGAATGAGATTAATAATTATGAGATACTAGCATAATCGCAATTTTTAAATTTAATCCGAATTCAATAGGAATAGATTTTGTATTACGCGTCATATTGATTTTCAACTATTTTTTTGTCTATTTCAAACTTTTCATTGTTACAATTTGCATTAAATCTCTTTGAGATATATCTCAGAACTGTTAGATGTTACTATTAAATTACAGTGGTCTCTTATTACGCGAATTCTTTACCTTAACTCATAACATAGCTAACTTATCTTGAAGTAAATTATTATAAATGTTACTTTCTTTTTACATGTTATGACAAATTTGATCGTTTTGAAATTAAAAGCGAAAAGTATTGCTATAAAGTAAACAAAGCTTGTGAAAAACATTTAACCCAAATTGGGCCTTGTAGGTCAACAGCCCACTGTAGTGTCTAGAAAAAAATTGGAGTTTTTTTTCTAGATTTGCAGTTATTGCTCTTCTGTAGAAGAATCTCATTTAGAATTAGTATAATTAATGTGCAGGCGAGAATGATATTGAGGTTTTATGGCGCAAATAAAACTGGAGCTTCTACAAGACTGTTTATCGAAATAATTTTGGGAACCTCATAATCAGAAACTTAATAGATTTTTGACATGTTAATTTAAATTAACTTACTTCTTGACGTATTCGTCGCCAAACTTGGTAAGGGCCCGGATGGCGGTGGGCGCGGTGTAGAACTGGGTGACGCGATACTTCTCCACAAGAGACCAGTATCGGTCGTTATCGGGGTAGAAGGGTGTACCTTCGAACTGGAAAACACAAATTATTCAGCACATTGCTTAATACAACAACTTCATACACGGTATTTAATGTAATGTAATCCGAACTAAAACAATTCACCATAGATGAAATCTACGTTTTTTTTTAAACTTTAAATTTTCATAATATTTAAATGTTAAAAACTTTTTTTCAGAATACCATATAACAATAGCTATTCTTTTTTTATGATTTCACTTGTCTTTTTCTTACAATTTTTCACAAAACAATTAAGTCCTTTGTTTATGTACATTGTCAAAGTATATTCGTAATGTTTTTTTAACGTAACTGAAAATTGTAATTATTTCCTCGTTGTTATGAAACAAAGGTTTTAACACTCACGGAATAATTGAGGAAAACAAAAATGATAATCATGTTTATAAAAAAACACAAAAAACGTATCCGAACATTTCACGACAATAGGTTATGTTATCCAGACCAGTTATGAAATTAATATCATATATTGAATGAGATCGCATGATTTTAATATTTTTTTTATAAATAAAAGTCGTGACTATTTTCAACCGAATAAATTTAAACATATATAAATTCCAAATAACATAAACTATTATAAAATACATGTATTATATAGTAAAGTAACATTTTAATTATGTAAGGATAAATAAAATTTACTAATTGGTAGTAATAAATCTACGTTAATATGTTTTGTCCATTTGTGTGAACAAATGCAAAATTCACAATCTAACCGCGACATATCATATCGTTATGTATTGAATATATTTTCTCTGAGAAAACAGCAAGGTCATCTTGAAGGTGAATCGTGACGGAAAACCTATTGTAATCTAGGTCTTATCTGATTCTAACCATTTAACACTTGAAATAATAACTAAACTAAAAACTACATATATATATAAACACTATTTGTGTAACTTTAAATGAAAACTATTTAAATGTTTTTACACAACTACCAATTTCTGTATTGCGTGACATTCAGACATGCGAATAACATTACCCCACTGGGTCAGTAGGAAGTGCTAACTAACGGTGGATGTCCATTTGCCAACTCTCACATAAATATCGTTGTCCCTCTCATTCTATCTATACTATTATAATAAAGCGTATACACACACTTCTTTGTTGCCTAAGATGTCAGCAATTACAGCATATTTTTGAATATTTCTCTTTTTAATAAAAAGCCGTACACTTACGTCACGCTTTAGGTTACATTTTTTCACGATATTAAACTTAGGGGGTAAATATTTTAGATAAAAACCCTAATGTGGGAAAAAGACCATAAGTTGCTGCCAACATCAAGGAAGCACGGTTGTCATCATGTCATGTCATTTTGACAATTGTAATTGATAATTTGACAAATGTAAACAATAAAATAAAGATTTTATCATTTCATGCGGGTGAAGCCGCACTGGAACAGCTAGTTTGAAATAATTGCGACAAAATTGTTTTTAAGCAAAACCTAATATAGTTGGCTTTGTCTTTTTAAAACTAAATATTCCGTGTTAAATGTTTGACCATTGTGAATTGAATACAATTAACCTTTGAACGAAAAGGAAATTATAATGGCGACTTGTGTGGGCCGACCACACGTGTTGAGGGGCCACTTGCCTCATGTGAAAAATTTAAACAAGAATTCATTGAAATTTATGTGAATGTACGTTTTCATGGTTTTCGTTGGCCACCCATGACTTCCCCTCTTGGTAATGTCCAAAACATACAAAGATTGTCTTCAGTGATCTCAACTCTGCGGCAGTTAACCGTACTTTTCATTAAAAACGGATGTTTTAATTTATTTCCCGTCTCATTTCGTTTTAGTTAAAACACCTGAATGACTTGCTTTTAAAATAACACTCTGTTGTTTAATAAGTAACCTTGAGGAAGTGTTGTACTTTAACATCCTCTACGCAAAAGGAACTGCGAACAAATGTTGACGGAATTTAGAGTAGTACCTAAACTATAATAGTAATAACTACGTCCATTATATGAGGATACTGTATTCAATGAGTGTTACATCACTTGTTAATAGTCTGAAAGGTTATCCAAATGTTGGATTTTATATTACGTCACATGTCTGGTGTCACATTTCAAATCCCTTGACGACAAATATATACCTAGTTAACGAAAAAAAGCAGAGTAAAATTATACAAGTACTGCCTTAAAGGATTTAAAATGTTTTTTTTAAACTTATTAAAGCTCCAAATAATATCAAGCTACCCTAAATCTTAATCCTGCAACCCAGTTTAAATAAATTATGATTAACATCGTAATAATATTGTAAAAGTTTATATGATGAAAATAAGTAGAAAATCCTCGAATGTACTTACCATAACGGAGGTGGCAGCATTTGCCAGAGGTGCGTAGACCACGTAAGTATGTCCAGTGATCCAGCCCACGTCGGCAGTGCACCAGTAGATATCTTTCTCGCGATAATCGAACACATAGCGGAAAGTAGTCGCTGCGTACAGCATAAAACCGGCAGTGGAGTGCAGAACCCCCTTAGGCTTGCCAGTAGAACCGCTATAGCGAAAATAATATAAACAAAGCTTCTACAATACATGTAACACTGAGCTAAATGATAACTAAAAATCTAATCTTACTTATATAAATGAGAAAGTTTAGATGGATGTTTGCTAGAGTGTGTAGTCTAAACGCCTGAACGGATCTTGATGAAATTTGGCATAGACGTAGAGGATATTCTGGCAGAACACATAGGTTACTTGCTTTTGTTTTTTAAATTCCACTCTGACGGAGTCGCGGGCGAAAGCTAGTGTGTTATATTGCATGTATGTTTATATGTATGTACCTGGTGTACAGCATGAAGAGTGGATCTTCAGCGTCCATCCACTCCGGCGGGCAGATAGTCGACTGCGACTCGATAATCTCATGCCACCACAAATCTTTATCTTCGTTCCAGTTGTACTAAAGTGATATTTAATAATTCAAACGGTTTGTACAGTTTTTTATAGTATTCCATTTCGTACGACTATTTTAAAATTCTGCATTGGAGGAACATTTAAATCCTTGTATCCAAAGACAATAGACTTTCAGAAAAATATAATAAAGCCGCTATTATTCTTACAGAAAAGTAAAAGAAATGTTTTTGAACAGGTGGTTAAGCAGTGGAAACTTACGATCAAAACAACAAATTGGGTGTTACATCAAATAACAATTTACCAAAGTGCGGAGATCATGGGGCAGTGTTCCGCAAGGCGTCACCCGAGCGAGGTGAGACACGACGACGCACTTCGCAACATTATGCTTATGTATCTTCTTGGCTTTTTCCAGAGCGTCGTCGCAAATCTTTTTCAATTCAAGCAATTTCTCGCCGCGCCAAGCACCGTCAGCTGTCACCAGCACCTTGGCCTTGCAGTCGGACATACGCTCCGCCAATGAATCCGACGAAAAACCGGCGAACTATGAGAAATGGATAACGACAAACATATTAATAGTCGTTTACGACCGAATAATCGGTCGATTTGACTCTCGATCGAATCGATCATTCCGATTCGAAGCTATTTTAAATATCTAAATGGCCATGTCACTTTAGAACAGTTTTATAGTTCTAAAAATTAACTTATTTCACAATAATCGATTGGTTTTGTTATTATACCCTATTCGCTGCTGTAATTAAATCGATCCGTTTTCAAGGGAGTGAGGAAAAGTCATTGCTAACATTATTGTGACGGCCAACATCAATTATGTATATGAATTAAGGTTAAGTACGTTACTGTTAGATATTATCACCATGACAACGGCTAACCTTGCTAACTATATTTAATATGACATATTTACCTTGATAAATACAACTATATAGCTCCTATCCACATAATGTTTGAGTACCTTTTTTTTTTTTTTTTTTTTTTTTTTTTTTT